TAATAGTCACACAAATGGCTAACTAACAAATAAATTTTGTTGAAGTTTTCACACCGAATTATTTGCCAAAATAAGTGTTATAAAATATCCCCCTCCAGCCCTTGTAGCCGTTCATAAAGCCTACAGTAAAAGATGGAATAATTTTTACGCCTGGGTGTCGTAAAATAGGGGCTGTAACTTGGACATATCATGCCCTTTCTTCTGACCTTCAAACGCCTATTATCGCCCACATGCATGCACGCGTAGATGTACTTCAAATGACATGAGGTTTATCTGACAACACATTTTTATATCTCTTTGCGTTAAGTTCGCTTTAGTTGATGTGTGGAGTATGCATAAAATGTAAGGAAAGGAAGGTTGATTTTCCAAATCTGGTGTCAGCTTGAACTTTTAAAGAGATGAGGTCCAGCTCTGATGATGCTCGTCTTATTACAGGCTAATGCCAAACCTGATTTAAAAGTTTTCTTCGCCCCATTTCGTTTAAGTTGATCAAGAAATGATATTTCCATTTCCCCACAATAATATGACTAGGCCTCACGTCCCCATTTGATTTCTCATAGCCTTGCTTAGTAGTCTCATCAAAAGTGGACAGCAGTTTCGACTTCGTTCAGGTTTCATCAGCAGCCCCAGCGGGACTCAAATTCGGGGCATGGTATTGCAGCGTATTATCTCGATCCTTTATACACTAAACAACACTGTCGCAGCCGCCCTTGTGTCACAGGGCAGACTGGAATTACAAAGAAGTCTAGGCCTTTCGTATCGCATTTCTGACGTGTTTAAAGTGCCTAGATTACGCCTTGTACTATCACAACCCGAGGTCAAGTCCCATTGGGGGTGCAAATGGGACCTAGGCGGGCTCGAAACTGCAGTCCAGCCTGGAGGAGAATATCTTTTAAGAAGCAAGGCTATGGGAAATGCAATGGAAGCGTGAGGTTTACACATATGCTTGTGGGAAAATTCAACTACCATTCCTTCAGATCCTTAGACGAAATATAGTACATTAACATCATTTTTACCGCCATATTTAAGCTAAGGGGTCAAGGAAATTGCCAGTTTATCCTTTCCAATTATGCTTTTTGATGCGATATAGATTGATTTGGTTAGCTCAAGTTTTATGTCAATTTTGCTGCATGTGCGTGTGTCTCTGGGCGCATTTACGCGACGTCATGTATTTTTTATGTACGAGTCCAGCAGTAATAATTCAAATAATGCAAAAACTAGTTTCACTGTAACCTTAGAGGATACCTCTTAGTCTGCATCAACCCGGCCGTTGTGGTAATATCAAACATCTACGAAGCAACGGAAATCCTCCGTCTTCTTCTGAAAGGATCAACTTACACATCTCTTCTACTGCCACGTTTACGTGAAGTGAATTGAAAGTCACCATAGCTGTTATATTTAATTATGTCATGTTGTCATTTCTGCCCTTGCCATTAGAGCGTAAAGGACTGTCCTCACACAAGCTCGGAGCCACTTGGTCCCGGAGGCTACGCCTTCATCCAATTCACTATTGAGCATCTACAGTCAGAAAGTGAAAAGGAAAGAAGAGAAGAAGGAGATGAAAAGTATCAACACTACCGAATGCCGTTTCCTTTGAGCCCCTTGGGCCAACAAAGTGGAGCACTCCCTAGCCTTCTGTATCCAGATGATGATGCTGTCCGAGGCCTGGGACAAATTAAAACCCTGCATCAAAGTCAGGGAGCGAGCAGAGCCTTGTCGAACAACCACCAAATAAGGCAGGTCGATGAAGAGGAGAGGGTGCCTCGTCGCCTCACCATTCAGATCCGTTGGCCAGAAGACCGCGCCGAGACAGGTCGACTTCCCCGGCTGAATGGTCACTTAGTATTCGATCCAGTTGCTAGTCTTCCAGAGCTGGCAGAACTGGTAGAGCAAGGGGTTGCAGAATACAGGTGAGGAGGACCCTTGAATGAAGAGTCGTTGGGCATGTCTACATTTCAGTGCACAACCTCTCTACACGCCAGGAGGGTGCCTTACAATTATTGCATACCAATCCATCCCGTATTGCTCCTAGGTCTTTGGTTCACTAAGAAACTTTTTATGATCGCGAAATATATACTACTCCTTTAGATACTGGCCAAACACGAATGGGCATTATTGGGTAGGAGTTAATGAAGGAATGATAGTTAAATTTTGAAGAAAAAATGCTTTTAAAGAAGTCATTAATGAGATATTGTGGTATAGCCCTACATTTCGAAGGGAAATTTGATTGGAAGGAATTCATGATGTGGTCTTATCTGAAACCGAATGAGAATTGCCGCGGAGGGAAAGCTGCTGAATTGTGCGAAAAAGTCCTCGGCTCACTGTCCTACGACCCCAATTAAACTTTGCTAAGCCTTCGTCTGTACCATCGTGACAGACATCATCAGAGCAAGATTCCATACTTTACGAGATAGAGCAAAAATATACTAAACCAAGAGAAAAGGTGGCCGGCTGCAACCCTAGTCACTTTTTTATGCATCTAACATCGCGATCTTATCGAGGCCTCCCCTGATTTTGTTGGCTACTTCAACCTTACTTTATATGCATACAAATGAGTGAAGTTAACTTCCAGAACCGGAATTGCGTAAGGTAGCAGTTGTTTCATCACACACAAAAACAAGTGTATGATCGCCCAATGTTGAATCATGTTTGGGCGTGTGCTATTGTCTATTGTGTGTATGTAATGCCCATGTCAGGGGAAGTATGAAAGTCCTAACTAGACCCGAGGCTAATCCAGCCTCCTCTTACTCAGTGGCTCTTCTTGCACCCTATCTCTCTCCCTTTCCTTAAATCTATCCAGCAGCCATTAAAAGTTCCTACTTAGTTTTCCTACACTCGTTCTTCTTATTTAGACGTTGGCTATTTTCCTAATTTCTACCGACTCCCTAATCTTACTCTTTGACGTGAAGTTCCCATAACCCGCAAAACATTGTGTTTGGACCAGTCTATTGAGTGTCCTGTATTGGTCATGTGCTCAGCGAGCTCAGACTTTCGGACCCACACATCTTTACAAGCGGTTTTGTGTTCGCATAGTCTCTTGTGAATGCGTCGGCAGGTCTCCCCACATATACTTTACCACATGAGCATAAAACCTTGTAGCAGCTTGATCTAGAAAGTGGGTCTGAAAATTCTCTAAACGAAGGAACTACTGAAGAAATTGTTAATTTCTCTTTATACCTTATTTTTATGTTCCATTTACTCAATAGTTTACCCAACTCTTTCGCAAGATGACAGGAAGGCAAAATCAGCAATTGCCTTGTTGTCTATCCCTTAATCTTGTTAACTAAAATTGACATGTAATTGTCTACTATTCCTGAAGGTCAATTGTTTTGCAAAATTATATTCCTCAATTTACCAATCTCCTGGCCCATATGATTTGCATCTGCTAGACGCAGACTCCTTATTAGCATGGACTTTATAACTCCTATTTTTACTCTGTATGTATGGTTCTAAAAGAAATTAATAAGGCAACCCATGTGAGTGGGCTTCCTATATACGTCTCTACCTAACTTATAACATTCTT